ATGCATTTCCAATATAACATTTCCATTGATAATAATTAATAATATCATTTTGTAATGATAAGCAATAAACTTATCATTTCGCAATTAAACAAATACCTATCCTGAAATTGATTATCACTTTGATTTATTTCAGGTAGCAACAGCAATGAATAGAATTGCTCTTTTTTTTTGCATTGACGATGATTGATGCATGCTGTCCGTTTTATATGATTGCAAGACCTGGTGGATTATTCAAACTTAGAAATGACTTGGTTCGCTTAAATATTCTCAATTTTAAATCTGTGAATAATTTTACCTGCAATTAATTAAGAGATATCTATTAATTAATGTTATAATTAGTGAATTATTAGTATGAAATATATCATGATATCAATTTGAAAAATATATAACTTATTATTTACAAAACGTGCATAAATAATTATAAATAATTACTAATAATTAGTTAGTATTTGTAAACATTGACAATATTAGACAAATTATGCTCCAGCATACATTTTTAATAAATATTTTATTAAGTTTATAAAAAATATTACTTTGAATTACATTTGAAATTATTATTTGACTCATCCAGAATCATATATTTGTCCAATTATCATAAAGAAGATATATTGATAATAATGAGCTGATAAATTAATGTGAAATTATCATAATAATTAAGTGATAATCAATTTGAATTCAATAAATGAGCTGATGAATGAATGTGAAATTATCATAATAATTAAGTGATAATCAATTTGTATCCAATTAATCTCACCATATTTCTATGTATGCGTATGTTTTTTTTTTTTCATGAATAAAGTAAAATAAATAAATAAGTAAGAAGTAAACACTATGCTAAGATAGTAAGCATAAAAGCAAAAATGTTAATTATTGTAATTAGCTTAATTTGTTGCAAATAAATTTCTCCGAATAAATTGATTGCCAATATTTCTATAATTTGTTTGCTAATATCTAAAAAAAAAAAAAAAAAAAAAAAAAAAAAACAAATCATAAAGATCACTAATTATCCATTATTAAATTCATTATTGTAGTAAGTTTTAGTTATTTACAACAAAAAAGAAAAGAAAGATTGATGCATCACTTTGTATTTTTTATTAATTTATTTAGAAAAATGGTTTACGCCATCACTCGGATCGAACGAAGAAAACATCTTTCCTAAACGATCCATTATATCATGAGAATCTATATAATCATGATTATGGACTTGCACCTGTACCACCACCGTATGACTTTTTATATTTTCCTGTACCACCACCGTATGACTTTTTATATTTTCTTGTACCACCACCGTATGACTTTTTATATTTTTAGTTTATAAATAGTTTTTAACATTAAAATAAATATTAATTTCCAAATAATATCCTATAATTGAAAAATTTTTTATCACAAAAAAAAATGATTGCATCGATGATAAAATTGCATTTTCTTTTTTTTTATCAGAAAAAAAAATAGTTTCTGTTGTTATTAATCACATAATTGCATACAGTGATTTATTTTATACAGTAATTTAATGAAAAAGTTGTACAAAACAGCAATAGTATACAGTAATCATATAATTATAATTGCATACAGTAAAAATGAATGGTATAATTTTTAGTTTAATGTTGGATTATTTAATGGACGAAGGAATTGGACAAAGAATGACAAAAGTTTCCGATCCTGCAATTCTGGCTAATAATAATGTGAAGAAATGATGAGGAAGAATGATGAGAAAATTATTCATCCGAATAGATTATTATATGAAAAATTTGCATATATGCATATTTATATCTAAATTTTTCGTATTATTATTTTCATTTATAGAAATGAATAAATTAATATTTATTTTGTGTCTTTTAAAGCAATTATTTCGTATACTTTCATATAATATAATAATGCTATACTTAATAAATGATAATCAATAAATTGATCATCAAACAGTAATAACATATTTCAATTCAATCATTTCATATTATCTCGTAATCTCTTCCTTTTTTTTTTTCTTTTCTAACAATTAATCATTTATTAACAAAAAGTAAATAATTTACTTTTTTAATTTTGCGGATACTTTTATGAGGACACATTTATGTCATTTATTTGAGTAAAATTTAATAAATTTTGAAATTTAAATGAAAATATTTTTTGATTTCGGTTTGCAAGAAAAACAACAAAAAATAAAACCAATAAGATTGGTTCATTTTTTATGAATTATCAATTGATCAAATAAAATTTCTCTTTTCATTCATAGTTTCCACCATCTTAAATGCTTAAATGCCCGATCTGTCCATAATTTGGTCATTTCAAACATATGAATTGGTTATTTTGACTTCGTCATTTGGACAGTCCAAAATTATAAGTTGGTCATTTTGAACATATAATTCGATCACTTACAAGCCGTAATTTGGCCATTTTAATCTTATGATTTGGTCATTTTGAATGCATGGTTTGATCATTTCAAACACGTGACTTGGCCATTCCAATTCCATCGTTTAGATAGCTCGAATTCATAAGTTGCTCTTTTCGGACCTAAAATTTGGTCCGTATGATTTGTTCATTTCGAATTCATGATTTGGTCATTTCAAATACATGGTTTGATTAGTTCAACTTTATTGATAGTTTCATCTATTTCAGATTTGCAATTTCGATCATTTCAAATTTGAGTTTTAGTTCGAATTAAATTTCAGTTTATAGCATTATAACATATCTTGGAAAAAAAGATAGCGTTAGAATAATTCGTTGATGAAATAAGCTTCGTTAATTTAACGACAAATATCAATTGCTATGGAGACAGTGCCATTCTCCTCAAAAATATAATTTTAAAAATTGATGATAAAAAAGAACCACTTGATTTATTGAATTTAGATTCCTTTTTTTTTGAAATTTAATCACTAAAATGCGTTTATATAACTTGAATTACAGTATTAGTGTTTTAGTCATTTAAAATATCGATAAAAAAATATTAAATATTAGATGGATAATAAGATAAATATATTCTACTGTCAACTTCTTTTAGTTTAACGATTTTATCTATCACCCATAACTGTATCACATTAGTCAGACATTCTAAATGTAATTAATTAAACGATTTTCATTACATCGTAAAAGTGAATATTCTTATTTATTAGTTTGCTGCTTTTTATCGAATTTTTAATTCCATTTTAATTTCATTTTTATTCAACAACTGTCAAGTGTTGTTGTCAAGTAAGTATTCAATTCTTCTTGAAAGCTTTCTAAAAGCTTTTCATCAAACTTCTATGATTTCTTTTTTTATTTTTGGAAAAGTTAAATATTTTTTAGAATGGTTATGTTAGTGTCTTTTTTATTTTTGTGATTTTAAATCGAACGTTTAATTAAACTTGAGAAGGTAATTTAATTTGGTATTTCGAGAAGTTTTTAAATTAGAATTTTGATAATATTAAATAGATAGTGATAAAAGTGTAATATTCATTTCCATATTATAAAGTATAATAATTTTGAAATTATCAACTTTATCATTTCGATTATTTCATTCAGTATGTTGCATATTATAATTATCAGCTAAAACATTCAAATGCAAACCTATTTCGTTTTATTTCCTGTTCCTATTATCACTATTATCATTATCATTATTGATTCTTGTTATTTTCATTCTTTAAAAAAAAAAAGAACTACTAATATTATTTTATTTAACATTTTGCAAATTAGGCAAAATAATACTTATCAGTATTGTAATCACAATTTGTTAATATCATTGTTATCAACAGTTATCACTGCATCACTATATTGTGATAAAAAAGAAAATTAGATTTCCTCTTTTATAAGCAACAATTTAGTTTAAAAGTGAAGGAGGAAAAAATAATCAGCGAAATACTAAATGTTTGCTTAGTAATAGCAAACTAATAGTTAATTTAATATCTTTAAATAAAATAAACAAAAAAATTTATACTTTCTATTTTTATTACAAGAATACCATTAAGCATGATGAAATTTAAGCATACAGTAATATATTTCGTCATTTTTTAAAAATTTTAATTCACAACAGATTTGTTAAATTTAATGTAAATTAATTCAAAATCAATTTATTTAATTCAAAATGGATTTATTTGTTTCGAAATAAATCGATATAAGTTCAGAATGCATTCATTTAGTTCAAAATAGAGTTGTTAAATTAAAAATGGTTTTATTTAATTAAAAATAAACTCACAAAATTCAAAATGGATTTATTTCATTCGAAATAGATTTAACGATTTTTTTTTTTTGCAAAAATAATGAGAACTTTTAAATTTTTAATTAGCAAATTTACAATTTTGAAAAACAAAAATTGAGATTGGAGTAGGATTTGAAAAAAAAAAGGGGAAAAGAAGAAGAAAAAACGAAAGAGAGAGATTAAAGCTTTTTTTTTTTTTTCAACAAATTAATCCTTTTAACGAAATTTTTCTTCCATAGAAGTATATGTGTTGAAAATAAAAATAGCTTCAAGCATTAAGTAATTCTTCAAGAAAAAAAAAAAAGAAAAAAAGTTGTTGTAAACATTCTTTAGGGTATTTAAAACAAATCAATTCAGTTTTTTTTTTTTTTGCAAATAAAAGTTTTCTTAACTAAGGACGACGCAAAGCAGCAAAATTGAGGATTGAAAAGAAAAAGAAATTGCAAAAATCATTTGGGAAAAAAAAAAGAAAACGAAAAAACAAAAACGAAACGGTTTAAAGACAAATTTACTTAAATTTTTCTTTTTCATTTTCCTTTTTCAATTGTCAAATCGGTTATTTAATGAATCGTCATAACATTGGCAACATTACAATGAATCATTATCACATTCTATTCTATCATATCATTATCATTTCGACAATCATTACTGCTACCATAGCTAATCCAGCTAGCAATAAACCTGGTAATTTTTAATGAATTTTTATTTTATATTTAAATTGGATCATATCATTATCATTGCTATTATCGTTATTGGTATTATTCGTTGTTGATATTAATTGATATTATTCATTGCTCTTTCATATTTGACTTTTTTTTGAATTCCTTTTTTTTAAAAAAAAAAACTCACAAAAAAAGTTGTCCTAATTTTTAGAATAAACGATAATATTGAAGAATTAACAATAATAATTTCCATGTATAGTAAGAAATATTTTGGAATTTTTGAATGAAATAGGAAAAGATATTATAGCTGATTGTGATTGCGTCACAATTTGAAAAAATTTGCAATCCTAAACTTATTAAATGAATTACTGGAAATAATAATGCTATAATTTTAACAGTATAATAGTAAAATGATCTAAGAATGAACAAAACATATGTATGAAAATCCTTCATCTCCAAATACAAATTAAAGTATGATAGTTGTGTGCATATCTATTAAATGATATAAATAAGATTGAAGAAATAACAATTCAATTAAAAATTTAGTTAACAATAATGATTAAACAAATCCTTAATTGAAATTCAATACTAAATTTAAGATTTATTTAACAAGAATGATAAAACAAATTCTTTATTGAAATTTAATATTAAATTTAAGAGTTTTTTTTTTTTTTTAATCACTGATAATTTTTTGAGAAAGATCAAACAAGTATTTTATACCAGATAATAATGAATCGGATAATGGTGGTAATTTGCCGGAAGAATATTTCGATATTGCGAAACGTTCCAAGAATTCCTATTCATGGATGAATACTGATGTTAGTTGTTGCATATTGTAAAATATAATAAATATAAAATTAATATTATTTTCGGATGTGTCGAGTATTTTTCATAAATTAAATTTAATTTGATTAAAATTTAAAGAAAAGAAAAAGAAAATTTGATAAGACAAAATTATGAAAAAATGAAATGGTGACAATAATTTATCTTTGTGATATTAAATTAACTTAATTAATTTTTTTAGGAATTTTTTTCACCCATATCCTTTAATTGATCAATAATATTATTCAGTAAAAAATAATTTTTAATAAATAAGATGTCGAATTAACAATTTAAAATGATAAATAAAATTGTAAAAATTAGAAAGTTGCGAAAATTAAGCGTTGTAGGCTTAAAAAAAAGAAAAAAAACAGATATTATAATTTTGATTAATAAATATTCTTCCTGAGATATTGGAGTAAAATATTTCCCCGTATTAATATAAATATTGGCATATATCATATTCAAGTTATTTATTTCTAATTGTGAAAATATGTTTTGTATCTGCTAAAATTTGCATATATTATTGATTTAAATAAGTAAATAAGTAAAATAAGTAAATAAGTAAAATAAATAATCATTGCAAAATATTTTTTCTTATTGTTATTAAATATTTCTTTATTCTTTTTGATGTGATAAAATTGAATTATATCTCTTTTTTCCTTTATTCTTTATTATTTCCCGCTTTTGATTGTTGCTTGCATCCGAGATTTCTTCTTCTTGCCTGTTTTTCCT